AAGATAGGACATCGAAAGGATGCCGAAAACTGAATGAAAGAAGAATAGACAGGAGAGGAGAAGAAGAAGAAGAATAAAAAATACAAAACAAGAAAAAAAAGAAAAAAAAAAACCTACACAAAGTCAACAGAGACAGCCAGACAGAGCCTAACCTGAGGGAACGTACCCAAACAGCCTCAGCATAATTGCCACCGACTCCGACCGAATTCTATGGCAGCCGCTCCAGGGCCGAGCCATGAGGAATGCGTGGCTATGGGGCCACTCTGCATCGTCGTCACGAAAACATGTGGTCGGGGGTGGTACGGGGGGGGGGGGTGACAAGGGGGAAGGGGGTGGTAGAGGGGGGGATGACATGAGGGAAGGGGGTGGTAGAGGGGGGATGACATGAGGGAAGGGGGTGGTAGGGGGGAGGGTGATGACATGGGGGAAGGGGGTGGTAGGGGGGAGGCTGACACGGGGAAAGGGGTGGTAAAGGGGAGGGGGTGGAACGGGGGAAGGGGGTGGTAGGGGGGAGGGTGACACGGAGGAAGGGGGTGGTAGAGGGGGGGAGACACGGGGGAAGGGGGTGGTAGGGGGGAGGGTGACACGGAGGAAGAGGATTATACAAGGGCTGTCTGGAATGAAAGGGGGGGTTGGGGGTTGGGGGGTAGGGAACTGGAGGAAAGGGGGTGAGGGAGAGGAGGGAGAGGGAGAGGGGGGGGGTCAAGAGCCGGCGAAGACAAGTCTCTGAAACGGGGAAAGATGCCGCGATCTTCCTTGGTGTTCAGTGAATATTTAGGCCGTTCGGAGGTTGAGATGGTTCGCTTGTGGTGCGTGGGCGTGGCAGAGGGCGTTCTGGGACACGGTGCGTTGTTCTGTCTGTTTGGCTGTCGGTCGGTCTCTCTGTCTGTTTGTCTGTTTGGCTGTCGGTCGGTCTGTCTGTCTGTCTGTCTGTTTGGCTGTCGGTCGGTCGGTCTGTCTCTCTGTCTGTTTGGCTGTCGGTCGGTCTGTCTCTCTGTCTGTTTGGCTGTCGGTCGGTCGGTCTGTCTGTCTCTCTTTCTGTTTGTTTGTTTGGCTGTCGGTCGGTTTCTCTCTCTTTCTGTCTGTTTGTTTGGCTGTCGGTCGATATGTCTGTCTGTCTGTTTGTTTGCCTGTTGGTCGGTCGGTCTCTCTGTCTGTCTGTCTGTCTATCGGCGTGTTTGTTTGGCTGGCGGTCGGTCGGTCTCTCTGTCTGTCTGTCTATCGGCGTGTTTGTTTGGCTGGCGGTCGGTCGGTCTCTCTGTCTGTCTGTCTATCGGCGTGTTTGTTTGGCTGGCGGTCGGTCGGTCTCTCTGTCTGTCTGTCTGTCTGCGTGTTTGTTTGGCTGGCGGTCGGTCGGTTCTTCTGTCTTTCTGTATATCTGATTCTCTGTGTCCTTAAAGAGTGTACTGATTGGTTGGCTGTCCTTCTCTCTTTGTCTCTTTGCCACACTTAAAGGTCATAGTGATGTACTGTATGCTATTAGTCTGTTGCAATTACATAAGGTAAACACCACATGTGTAAATAGAATACCCATTTTAATTAATGGAATAAAGTGTTTTGAATTTGAATTTGAACTCTGTCTGTCTGTCTTTGTCTCTGTCTCTGTCTCTGCCTCTGTCTCTGTCTCTGTCTCTGTCTGTCTCTGTCTGTCTCTGTCTGTCTGTCTCTCTCTCTCTCTTTCTCTCTCTCTCTCTCTCTCTCTCTCTCTCTCTCTCTCTCTCTCTCTCTCTCTCTCTCTCTCTCTCTCTCTCTCTCTCTTTCTCTCTCTCTCTCTCTCTCTCTCTCTCTCTCTCTCTCTCTCTCTCTCTCTCTCTCTCTCTCTCTCTCTCTCTCTCACTCTCTCTCTCACTCTCTCTCTCTCTCTCTCTCTCTCTCTCTCTCTCTCTCTCTCTCTCTCTCTCTCTCTCTCTCTCTCTCTCTCTCTCTCTCTCTCTCTCTCTCTCTTTCTCTCTCTCTCTGTATATCTCTTTCTCTCATGATTCCCTCTCCCTCTCTCCCTCTCCCTCTCCCTCTCCCTTTCCCTCTCCCTCGCCGCCCATATTTCCCCTGCATGGCCTCCCACGGGTAACAACAGTGAGGCGGAAGGGTGTTAGCCTGAGGGAGTCTGCGATCGGATGAGAGAGCTCGGTCGGCGCTGTTGCTGTTCAGCGTATTAGGTAATTCATAATTATATAATTCCGACGGGTAGGAGGGGAGGGGGGAGGAGGTGGGAGGAGGTTGTTTGGGTTAGAGTTAAAGAGGGGTGAGGGAGAGGGAGAGGGAGAGAGAGAGGGAGAGGGAGAGGGAGAGGGAGAGTGAGAGGGAGAGGGAGAGGGAGAGGGAGAGGGAAAAGGAGAGAGGGAGAGGGAGGAGAGAGAGAGGGAATGGGAGAGGGAGGGAGAGAGGGAGAGGGAGGGGGGAATCATGTTGCCTTTCTTTCGTGGTTGTTTCATTTCTTTTTTTGTATGATGGGTATCAGATCGAAAATTAACTTCTTTTTTATAAGGTGTGCTTGCCGGAGGAACTACTTTTTTCTCAGGCTGATTGGATAATGATCCATCATTTCTCCATCCCCTTTCTTCATCCCCCTCTCTACCCTCCCTTCCTCCCTCCCTCTTCCTTACCTCCCTCCCCCCCTCTTCCTTACCTCCCTCCCCCCCTCCTTGTCATACCGTTCCTCTCCTTCCCTCTTCATCCTAACCATCTTCCCCTCCCCCTCCTCTCTCCTTCTCCTTCCCTTCTCTCTCTCCTCTTTTCTTCTCCTCCCTCCCCTTTCCTCCTTCCCTCATCTTTTCCTCCTCTCTTTCCCTCCTCTCCCTCCTCTTTCCTTCCTCTCCTCTCCCTCCATTTTCCTTCTTCTCCTTCCTTCTTCCATCCTCCCTACCCCTTCCCTACCCCTTCCCTTCCCCTTCCCTTCCCCCTTCTCCTACCCCTTCCCCTACCCCTTCCCCTTCCCCTACCCCTTCCCCTTCCCTTCCCCTTTCCCTACCCCTTCCCCTACCCCTTCCCCTTCCCCTACCCCTTCCCTTCCCCCTTCCCCTACCCCTACCCCTTCCCCTTCCCCTACCCCTTCCCCTTCCCTTCCCCCTTCCCCTACCCCTTCCCTTCCCCTTCCCCTACCCCTTCCCCTACCCCTTCCCTTCCCCCTTCCCCTACCCCTTCCCCTTCCCCTACCCCTATCCCTTCCCCTTCCCCTTCCCCAACCCCTTTCCCCTACCCCTTCCCCTTCCCCTAACCCCTTCCCCCTTCCCCTTCCCCTACCCCTTCCCCTACCCCTTCCCCTTCCCCTTCCCCAACCCCTTCCCCTACCCCTTCCCCTTCCCCTCCCCCTTCCCCTTCCCCCTTCCCCTTCCCCTACCCCTTCCCCTACCCCTTCCCCTTCCCCTACCTCTTCCCCTTCCCCTTCCCCTACCCCTTCCCCTTCCCCTTCCCCTTCCCCTTCCCTCCCCTTCCCCTAACCCCTTCCCCTTCCCCTAACCCCTTCCCCTACCCCTTCCCCTTCCCCTTCCCCTACCCCTTCCACTACCCCTACCCCTTCCCCTACCCCTTCCCCTTCCCCTCCCACTCCCCCTCCCCCTTCCCCTTCCCCTACCCCCTGTCCCCTACCCCTTCCCCTACCCCTTCCCCTTCCCCTTCCCCTACCCCTTCCCCTACCCTTCCCCTTCCCCTTCCCCTTCCCTACCCCTTCCCCTTCCCTTCCCCTTCCCCTCCCGCTTCCCCAACCCCTTCCCCTACCCCTTCCCCCTTCCCTACCCCTTCCCCTTCCCCTTCCCCTTCCCCCTTCCCCTTCCCCTTCCCTTCCCCTTCCCCTTCCCCTACCCCTTCCCCTTCCCCTTCCCCTTCCCCTACCCCTTCCCCCTTCCCCTTCCCCTACCCCTTCCCCTACCCCTTCCCCCTTCCCTACCCCTTCCCCTTCCCCTTCCCTTCCCCCTTCCCCTTCCCCTACCCCTTCCCCTTCCCCATGAGTCTGCGAATAACGATTAGAGCAAGAGGAACCTCCCTACCACCGTGGTTTGCTTGTGTCTTGTTTGTAGGATTCCGTGAAAGTCATTTTTGTAGGAGAGAGAGAGAGAGGCAGATAAAGGAGAGAGTGAGAGAGAGATAAATAGAGAGAGAGAGAGAGAGAGATAAATAGAGAGAGAGAGAGAGAGAGATAAATAGAGAGAGAGAGAGAGATAAATAGAGAGAGAGAAAGAGAGAGAGAGAGAAAGAGAGAGAGAGAGAAAGAGAGAGAGAGAGAAAGAGAGAGAGAGAGAAAGAGAAAGAGAGAGAGAGAGAGAGAGAGAGAGAGAGAGAGAGAGGGAAAGAGAGAAACAAAGGGTATTCTTGCTTTTTTCCTGCATGTCCATTTCCTACGTATTTGCCTTACAGCCCCCCCCCCATTTCGTATTCTGAAGGACAGGTCGCCCGTGCTTTCTCGTGTCGTTTCAAGGTTTTAGTCGTTTCGTAAGTCGTGTCGCCCGGCCCACCGCGCGCGCCATTGTCGTTAGCTCGAGGGGCGAAGACGGCCGAGTATAGTGCTGTGTACGGAAATGGTGATGCTTGGATAGTGTGGTGTATGGAAAGGGTGATGGTCAGAAGCTATGGTGACATGGATGATGATGGTGTATGGAAATGGTGATGCTTGGATAGTGTGGTGTATGGAAAGGGTGATGGTCAGAAGCTATGGTGACATGGGTGATGATGGTGTACGGAAATGGGGATGCTTGGAGGATGTGGTGAATGGAAAGGGTGATGGTGTATGGAAATGGTGATGCTTGGATAGTGTGGTGTATGGAAAGTGTGATGATCCGAAGCTATGGTGACATGACATGGGTGATGGTGGCGTTGTGGTGTATGGAAACAGTGATACTTAGGTGGCAGAGTCGTCGTGGGGTGATGGTGTCCAGGTACTAACAACATATTGCATGTACTCTGTCCGTCAGTCTCACCATTGTTCAAGACTATGGTGCCATGTTCAAGTACAGTGTATGGAGAGGATAATGGCGAGGTCGTCGTATGGTGTCCTGGTTGCCTGCGTCCTAGTTGTCTGCGTCCTGGTTGTCTGCGTCCTGGTTGTCTGCGTCCTGGTTTCCTGCGTCCTGGTTGTCTGCGTCCTGGTTTCCTGCGTCCTGGTTGCCGGCGTCCTGGTTGTCTGCGTCCTGGTTGCCTGCGTCCTGGTTGCCTGCGTCCTGGTTGCCTGCGTCCTGGTTGCCGGCGTCCTGGTTGCCTGCGTCCTGGTTGCCGGCGTCCTGGTTGCCGGCGTCCTGGTTGTCTGCGTCCTGGTTGCCTGCGTCCTGGTTGCCTGCGTCCTGGTTGCCTGCGTCCTGGTTGCCTGCGTCCTGGTTGCCGGCGTCCTGGTTGTCTGCGTCCTGGTTGCCTGCGTCCTGGTTGCCTGCGTCCTGGTTGCCTGCGTCCTGGTTGCCTGCGTCCTGGTTGCCTGCGTCCTGGTTGCCTGCGTCCTGGTTGCCTGCGTCCTGGTTGCCGGCGTCCTGGTTGTCGGCGTCCTGGTTTCCTGCGTCCTGGTTGCCGGCGTCCTGGTTGTCTGCGTCCTGGTTTCCTGCGTCCTGGTTTCCTGCGTCCTGGTTGTCTGCGTCCTGGTTTCCTGCGTCCTGGTTGTCTGCGTCCTGGTTGCCTGCGTCCTGGTTGCCTGCGTCCTGGTTGCCTGCGTCCTGGTTGCCTGCGTCCTGGTTGCCTGCGTCCTGGTTGCCTGCGTCCTGGTTGCCTGCGTCCTGGTTGCCTGCGTCCTGGTTGCCTGCGTCCTGGTTGCCTGCGTCCTGGTTGCCTGCGTCCTGGTTGCCTGCGTCCTGGTTGCCGGCGTCCTGGTTGTCGGCGTCCTGGTTTCCTGCGTCCTGGTTGCCGGCGTCCTGGTTGTCTGCGTCCTGGTTTCTTGCGTCCTGGTTTCTTGCGTCCTGGTTGTCTGCGTCCTGGTTGTCTGCGTCCTGGTTGCCGGCGTCCTGGTTGTCTGCGTCCTGGTTGGCTGCGTCCTGGTTGCCTGCGTCCTGGTTGCCTGCGTCCTGGTTGCCGGCGTCCTGGTTGCCTGCGTCCTGGTTGCCGGCGTCCTGGTTGTCGGCGTCCTGGTTTCCTGCGTCCTGGTTGCCGGCGTCCTGGTTGTCTGCGTCCTGGTTGCCTGCGTCCTGGTTGCCTACGTCCTGGTTGCCTGCGTCCTGGTTGTCGGCGTCCTGGTTGTCTGCGTCCTGGTTGCCTGCGTCCTGGTTTCCTACGTCCTGGTTGCCTGCGTCCTGGTTGTCTGCGTCCTGGTTGTCGGCGTCCTGGTTGCCTACGTCCTGGTTGCCTACGTCCTGGTTGCCGGCGTCCTGGTTGTCTGCGTCCTGGTTGCCGGCGTCCTGGTTTCCTGCGTCCTGGTTGCCGGCGTCCTGGTTGCCTATGTCCTGGTTGCCGGCGTCCTGGTTGTCTGCGTCCTGGTTGCCTACGTCCTGGTTGCCTGCGTCCTGGTTGCCTGCGTCCTGGTTGTCGGCGTCCTGGTCGCCTACGTCCTGGTTTCCTGCGTCCTGGTTGCCGGCGTCCTGGTTGCCTGCGTCCTGGTTGCCGGCGTCCTGGTTTCCTGCGTCCTGGTTGCCGGCGTCCTGGTTGTCGGCGTCCTGGTTGCCTACGTCCTGGTTGCCTGCGTCCTGGTTGTCTGCGTCCTGGTTTCCTGCGTCCTGGTTGCCTGCGTCCTGGTTGTCTGCGTCCTGGTTGCCGGCGTCCTGGTTGCCGGCGTCCTCGTCCTCCGCTCACCATCGTTATAGCTTCGAGGGATGATGACGGTGACGGTGACGCAAGCGAACGGGAAAGGGTGACGATCAGATGACGGGGCAGGAATGGCAATGCGATTTGGCGAGATGATGGTGACATAGGGTAGGGAGGGAGGGAGGGGAAAGGGGGTGGGGGGGAAGGAAGGGGGGCGTCGACTCATTAGTGTGGTAGAGAGGAAGCGGTGGCACAGGTGTGGCAATATTGCGCGGCTGTTGAATTGGTGATGATGGTGTGGCGTGGCGATTGTGGTGGTGACCTCGGGTTGTTGTGAAGTTATGGTGTGATGTCTCCTGTTTCGGATGTCACTGTGAGTTGGGATTGCCTGCCCTCGCCCTCTCCGCCCTTTCTGCGTGTGTGTGTTTGTGCTCGCGGTTCGGATTTACGTCTTCGGTTTTCCCAAGTAACTGCGTCTTGTCCGGTCTATGTTGTTCCTTCGAAAATAAAGAGAGAAAAAGAAGAGGAAGATTGAAGAGGTTTCTCCTCCTTTCCTTTGTATCTTTCTTCACCCTTTTTCTTTGTCTGTTCTTCCTCCTTCTTCTTCTTCTTCGTCTTTTCGTTTACTTTTCTTCTTCCTCATCCTCATTCTTCTTCTTTTTCTTTTTCTTCTTCTGTCTCCTCCTCCTCCTCTCCTTTTCTTCTTCGTTCTTCTGTCTTCTTTCTTCTTCTTCTTCACGTGCACACCCATCCTCTTCTTCCTCTTCTCCATTTCTTCATCTTAGTTTTTCTGTCTTCTTTATTTCTTCTTCTGCCTCTCCTTTCTACTTATGCTCCTCTTTCTCCATTTCCTACTACTCCTTCTTCTTCTCTTTCTTCTCTTTCTCTATTTCCTTCTTCTTCTTCTTCTCCTGCTCTACCCCCTTCTCCTCTTCCTTCTTCTTCTTCATTTCTCTTCATCTCCTCTTTCCTTGGCCGAACGTGACAAGACCTACCCCTCGAAACATGACAAATGTGTGGGCTGTTGGCATGGATTCCGAAATGTGGGAATTTACTGTTGGCAGAAGAAGAGTTGGCAGTGACTGGTTTCTTTGTCCTTTTGCCTTTTTTTGCCTGTTTGCATTTATTTCCTACTGTTGGTATAGTCACTCTACAGAGTAGATGTATAGAATATATATATATATATATATATATATATATATATATATATATATATATATATATATAGTATATATATCACATACACATATATGTTCACACACACACACACACACACACACACACACACACACACACACACACACACACACACACACACACACACACACACACACACACACACACACACAGATGTTTAATGTATAAAGGATAATGATTGCACGTGACAAAAAGCAGTACCAGGAACATAACTCTTTTATATTGCAGAGTGATGCATAAGGCTGCAAGTCACCAGTATACTTCGTAAATATAGTCGCGCACTCTAAGTACCTGCTCTTTACGTATCTGGTATGGGAGAAAGGTGCCAATTGGATGGTTATTTTGAATATTTTTTCACTTGCCGTAGTTGATTAATCTGCATAATCACATATTAATAAAAATATGAACATCGTCATGTGACAGTTAATTAATTCCAGGTCTGTTTAACGGTTGACCATAGTGGTTTGGGTCATAATCCGTGCGCGTAAGTTTTTCTTTATTTTTTAAGGGAAATTTGAAAAAAAAACTTTCGTATAAAGAGAGAAGAAAGTGTAGAGAGAGAGAGTGGATATATATATATATATATATATATATATATATATATATATATATATATATATATATATATGTATGTATATATATATATATAAAGATAGATATATATAAAGATATATATATATATATATATATATATATATATATATATATATATATGTATGTATATATATATATAAAGATAGATATATATAAAGATATATATATATATATATATATATATATATATATATATATATATATATATATATATATAAAGATTCACACACACACACACACACACACACACACACACACACACACACACACACACATATATATATATATATATATATATATATATATATATATATATATATATATATATATATGTATATATATGTATATATATGTATATATACATAAATATATGTATATATACATATATATATACGTATATATACATAAATATATGTATATATACATGTATATGTATATATACATATATATATGTATATATATATATATATATATATATATATATATATATATATATATATATGTATATGTATATATATATGTATATACATATATATGTATGTCTATATATATATATATATATATATATATATATATATATATATATATATATATACATATATATATATATATATATATATATATATATATATATATATATATATATATATGTATGTGTGTGTGTGTGTGTTTAATGTATAAAAGATAATGATTGCACGTGACAAAAAGCAGTACCAGGAACATAACTCTTTTATATTGCAGACTGATGCATAAGGCTGCAAGTCACCAGTATACTTCGTATATAAAATCGCACATTCTAAGTACCTGCTCTTTACGTATCTGGTATGGGAGAAAGGTGCCAATTGGATGGTTATCCCATTGCCGACGGGCATGTCACGTACGTCCTTGCCATGCCCACTGTGAGTTTACTTGTTTAATTGTTTTTAACCATAGATGGCTACATTTGTACTAAGTCCCCAGTGAGCCAGTTTGAAGTACAGCCTGTCTCGCCCGTTTACCCTTTTCTTTGATTTATGAAAATATTTTACGTTATCTTATTTTGCTGTTACCAATGCTTATAACATTATAGTGATTATAATGTTTATAATAAAAATAACACCATCGAGATTCATAGCACTAATAAAAAATACGTTTTTTCCCGCCAGTTCAACAATCGGCAGAGCCATCTATGTAATGAGACATTTCACAAAAATATGAAAAATGAGCACAGCGTTTTCCTCATTTTTTATTCATTTTCCCCGGCGGCAATGGGTTATTTTGAATATTTTCCACTGCCGTAGTTAATTAATCTGCATAATCACCTATTAATAAACATGTGAACATCGTCAGGTGACAGTTAATTCCAGGTCTGTTTAACGGTTGATCATAGTGGCTTGGGTCATAATCCGTGCGCGTGAGTTTTTATTTGATTTTTTTAAAGGGAAATTTGAAGAAAAAAAAACTTTCTTTCGTATAAATTGTATGTTAGGGATTCATTAATTACGAAAGTTTACCGAATAGGTGTGTGTGTGTAAGAGAGAGAGAGAGAGAGAGAGAGAGAGAGAGAGAGAGAGAGAGAGAGAGAGAGAGAGAGAGAGAGAGAGAGAGAGAGAGAGAGGGGTGAGAGAGAGAGAGAGAGAGGTGAGAGAAGAGAGAGAGTGGAGAGAGAGAGAGAGAGAAAGTGGAGAGAGTGGAGCGAGAGAGAGAGTGGAGAAAGAAAGAGAGAGAGAGAGTGGAGAAAGAAAGAGAGAGAGTGGAGAAAGAAAGAAAGAGAGAGAGAGAGAGAGAGAGAGAGAGAGAGAGAGAGAGAGAGAGAGAGAGAGAGAGAGAGATTGGTATATCGGTACATAAGCACGATTTGTGTAGGCTTTAAGACAGTGGAGAACCACCGCCTCAGCGAGGACTTAGATGACGAGTTCATCTGACCTTGTTTGGACTCTCAGTCGCGCCGCAGCACCCGCGGGCTCGGGTCATGTCACCGGCCTTTCCCCCCCACAGGGCTGGTCGGCGTCACGGCCACCGCACTCAGCGCTTACCCTAAGACTCGTCTCGTGTGTTATTATCACAGTGTTGTGCTCTTTCCGAAATAAAGAGTCAAGCCATAAACACTATCACTGTCCAACCAGTCATAATCAATCTTACACTGGTGGCAGGGTGGTCGTTGCGTCCTTTTGGCTCGCAACACTCCGAAATCCGCTCGACCAACGCCTCCACGACGACCATGTCTTCAAAACCACGTGAATACACGTTTTGGGCCTTTTCCTTTCTTTTCCCTCCCTTCTTCTCCCATAAATGCGTTAGGCCGTATGTGCATTCACCCTCACGCACGTTTCGTTGGGTAAAAGTGCTAATTGACAGCAGATGGCACGTGCTCTTACTTTCTTCTGGTCTTAGATCGCATTACTGTGTGATCACGGTATGTAGTCAACAAACATGAATATCGTTCATTTTTTTAGGTATTTAACTATTTTTTGTCGTTATTTGGGATTTATGTTATTTCAACTGCAACGAGTTTAACGCGTTCGTGATTTTATCGTTTTCATGAATATCATTTCATTTATTTCTATTCTCATCGCTCATTTCCCGTCTTGACTTGACCTCGGAGTGACAGTCATTAATCAGGGAACCCGCCTGGGCAGCTGAGTGATCTGACCACATTTCCTCTCACTTCCGGTCGATTGACACGTGAAATGGCTTGAGAGACAGATCGCTGTTCCCATTAATTTGGTTGTTTGGTGTAGCATCGCTGCATTGCTCATTTGGTGACACGTTCTATCGGCGCTGGAACGGAGCTTGTAACGCGATTTATATTCATTTATTATTTTGATCAGAGCGTTAGAATCTTCCCCATGTCAGAGTGCACAGGTATGCCTGATATAACCAGGGGTTGAGTACATGCCCGATAGATCTACGCTCCGACGTAACGATAGTAGGTACAGGTATAACCGAAGTTATTCGTACGATCGGCAACACTTGAGTCGGGTGACCCGAAGTATGCCCGTTAAATAATGTAGGACTAGGGTTTGAGCTGAATCGTTATTCGCTTATTAATCACACCCTTCTCCCCCTCTAGACGTCGCTGGCATGTTTGGGTAAATTCCAACCGATCGTGTGATTCGTGATAGATACCCGTAGGGCATGTCACGAGCGCCCATCACAGATTCGCAGAAAAGAGTGGGTTATTTATAAATTTTCCCAGCTCGTTTCGCTTCGTAGAGTTCGGTATTTTTTTGGTACAGAACCCCCGTCGATGAAGTCTGCATACGCAGTTATTGGCTACCTTGGGGAATTTGCTGACCCCGAGAAGATTCGCTTGCGAGAAAGCTTGCGAATATTTTTCACGTCACCGTTCATTAGTGCGTCATTCTGTCGCATATCATTAAATGTTGAATTCATTGTGATACTTGAAATAATTTTGTTTTAGTTCCATTGCTAGTTTATCGCATTCATTAATATGGTTTGTTGCTGTCGTAGTTGCAGGCATAAAGATCTATGACGAATATCTTTTGCCCGCGATTTTGTCAGTCGTGACGAGTGACTAGTGATTTCTTACTTTTACATACATTTCTTCTCTGTTACGATAATTAGTTTAAGTAAATCGTTCCTGATTGCGGGTGTATTTTCCCTTATTTACTCTCATATCTATCAGAGACGGTTGGTAGTTTAAGTCAGGTCCTTACGGATCGCTACTTACGTCTCCCTCTTCCATTTTCTTTTATTTTCTTTTGTGAAAGTAAAATACAAAATGAAAAAAAACAAACAGAAATAACGTAAAAAAACGAACATGAAAAACTGCAAATCAATATAAATAACCGGCTACACGCTTAACACCCCCTTTTCTCTGTTGCCTTTCTTTGTCTCTTACTATCTTGGCCCTTACGTGTATAATCTGGTTCACCGATATCTGACACGGCGCCGAAGGAGGACCCTCCTGCAGAAACGGTCACCCTAGGATGCTGTGGGAAGGACATCACCGGAAGATCGCCAGAAGCCTGCAGACCAGGATGTTCGTCAGAGCGGGTATCAAGCCGCCCCAGGATGTGGAAGGGCGCCGCCTGCCAGAACGCCCGTAGATCCAGCGA